AAAAAAAAAAAAAAAAAATGGGCCCTGTACTAGAGTACTAGCATCAACTGGGAACTTGTTTGAAATCCTTGACCCTACCCCAAACCTCCTTGGGGTGAGGCCAGTAATCAGTAATTTTAGGACACGGTTAACTTTGATAGCCTATGTCCTAGTTGATTCTAGTGTGTGGCCAAAGCTGAGAATCACTGCTATAGACAAGCCACGGCTCACAGACATATGATATGACTAATTCCTAAGAAGTGCCATTCCTGACATAAGCCCATTTCTTTAAGTACTAGTCATGAGTCAACGTATTTAAGTCAGAAAAATCCAAGAGAAAATCATGTAATGATTTATATTAGTGTAACAACCCAAGGGAAAAGTGGTTCATTGGTTTATCAGGCCCTGATTCAGGTAGAACATTGTACCAAATAAAATTTTAATTTAACATTTAATTTGTAAAAATACACTACAGAATTCTCTACTTCCTAATTTCAAACAGAGGCAATACACTACAATGGTTATAACGAAATCACACAGGCTAAGCTCATTCTTTCCTGGTTAAATTTTCCCTGTAAAAATTTCCTAACCTGAGACTTAGTTCGTTTATTTATAAAATGGAGATAAAAGCCTAAAAGCCTAGCTCAAAAGATAGTAAAATTAAATGCTCAGTAAGTAACATTATTCATAATTATAATTACTTAATAGGTATTTACTAATTATCCACATGTAGCACATGGCAACCTAAATGGCTTTAAAGCACAATACATTGCACAGACCATAGATAAAGACTAAATGAGAAGTACAGATGAATTCTTTCGGGGAGTTTACTATCAGCAATGACCACTGAAAGCCTACTTAATAAGGAGAGTTTACTTATTTGAAGAAAAGTACCACCTTGGATATTAGATGGGAATACTGAAAGGAGATGGAAGGCGTACAAAAGGAAGAACGGAGATGGCAATAGTCATAAGCAACTCGCTAGGCGAGAAATAGACAGGCCTTGCTAAATTAGAAGGATCATCTGGAGAGTAGATTCTATGCTAGGATGATGAATTAGATTTGGATTATGGAAAGTCTTGAACAACAGGCTGAGTTTAGAATGAAGGTTTTTAAGCATTGAAGAGTTTTATGAATAAAAAAAGCAACAAACAGAAAGGAAGGTCTGGGCACTGTTCCCTGTTCGGCCACACTAGCAGCGTAACTTGAAGTTATGCTTATCTGGTTTGCACAGCTGTTAAATCAAAGTATTGATGTGCCTGGTCCAGCCCAAACTTTTCAAATAATTTAACTAGCACATTAACCAGTACCTGGTAATGTTCAACAAACATTTGCAGACTGACTTGTAGGCATAAGAAAATTAAAGTGAGAAAAATGAAAGACTATCCAGCACTACTGCTGTTCTTGTTCCAAAGAGAAGGCTTTGAGAATATACATACTTACTCTTAATCGAGGACATCTGGATTTTGCCAGTACTCCCATAAATATGTCAGGGGCATTAAATTCTTGGAGAAATAAAGCCACATCCTGAAAATAAAAATGATTATTAACTTGGATCCTCTTAAAACTTCATAGCTTAGGCACCCACAAAAAAAATTTAATTTATATATGCCTCCTTTCAAGCATAAAAAGAAAAAAGAACATAAGGTTGCAATTGTGTCAACAGACAAAAGCAATGTTAGAAAGTCTTGAGGTATCTGGTCCCAGAGCAATGGAAAAATTCCATAAACAGATCTAATCTAATTGTGACATTCCAGAGAATTTTCCTCTTCTTTCTACTTTGAATACATTTACCATGATGTTTCTACCCACCAGGAATATTCATTCACTCAAACACATTGGCTGATTGCCAGGTATTACACTAGAATAAGGGAGAAGCAATAAGAATGGAGATAAAAAAAAAAGAGTGAAACTCATAATTCCTATCTTCTAAAAGCTTAAAACATGATAGAGCAAACAGATGAAATCTCCTATTGGGTCACGCTCCAAATCAGAAATTGTGTTTTCAAAATTCTCAACAGAAAAAAATCCTGATCACCATGTAACTGTGACAGCTTCATATCTCATTCCTATAGAGTTTGCCTAGGGCAGAGTGCCTAAAGGCATGCACCACACAGGTGAATGAATGCAGAGTAGACATGTGACCCAATCTCAGTGACATTTAAGCTGGGCCATAAAGAATGAGAAAAATTTTGCTGGAGAGAGGCCATTCTGGGCTGAGAATGGCATGAACAGAGCATGCACACATGAAAGTGCAGGAAATGTCTGGAAGACTGGTCCTGCTTAAACACTGAGTGGAAGAGGATAAGGCTGAGATAGAGTCTCACAGGAGGGACTTTATGGCAGTGATCAGTGGACAGCTCAGTTCTCTGGAGGTGTGTCAAGGGCTACCATAAGGGGGTGGAGAGGAAGCCAAGAACATGACCTCCCCTCCACTGTCATTCAAGCTCAATTTTACATTTGAGGATTTCACACTAAGATTTCATTTGAAAAACAGGTTCTAGGTTTCATTTCTTTAAAAAAAATTTTTCTAAACTATACCCTCTCAATAATTGTAGAACAAAAAGAAACAAGACTTGAACAATACTTTCAAGCTTGATGGAGTTGACATTTATAGGACACTCCACCCAGCAACAACAGAATATACACATTCTTTTTAAGTGAACATGGAACATTTACCAAGACAGACCATATTCTGGGCCATAAAACACTTCTCAGTACATTTACAAAGATTCAAAGCACTCATTGGCTACACTAGCTTATAAAGAGATAACATTTAAATCTACCTGAAAAATTCGCAAATATTTGAAACCTAAATAACATACTATAAAGCAATTCACTAACCAAAGAGAAAATAAGGAAAATCAGCAACTATTCTGAACTAAATGAAATGAAACACAGTATCAGGAAAACATCAGATACTGTTATACTAAAGCAGTATTTAGAGGAAAATTTGAAGTGTTAAATGCCTCTATTAAAAAAGAAAAATGGTCTCAAGTCAATAACCTCAGCTTCCACCTTAAGAAATTAGAGAAAGAGCAAATTAAACCAGAGTAAGCCAAAGAAAGGAAATAAAAAGATCAAAATGGAAATCAATGACAGAAAACAGTAAAGCCATAGAGAAAATCAATCAAACCATTTGTGAAGATGAACGAAATTATTAAACTTCTAGCCAGACTGATCAGGGGTAAAAAAAAAGACACAAATTATTAAATCAGGAATGAGAGAGGTACCATCACTAGAAATGCTACAGATATTAAAGACTAATAACATAATACTATGAAAAACTTTATACCAATGAATTCAACAACTTATATGAAATGGATAAATTCCCTGAAGAACACAAACTACCAAATTTTTTTAAAAAGTAATAAATGAACAAAGCTAAAAACAAACAAAAAAATATTGCCAGAAAGAAAACTCAAAGCTTTTCTTAATTACACCAGATATTTAAGGAAGAAATAATACTACTTCTGCAAAAACTCTTCCTGAAGAGTAAAGAAGGAAATACTTCCCAATCTGTGAGGGAAGTATTAGTTTGGTACCAAAACCAGACATTGACAAGAAAATGAGTATGTCTCATGACAGATAAATTCTAAAGATTTTACCAACTTGAAAATCAATCAACATAGCTCACCATACAAACAAACTAAAAAGAAAAATGACATGGTCATTCCAATAGGCTCAGCAAAAGCACAATAAAACCGGAAATGCATTCCTGACAGGGACTCTAGGCAAATGAGGAACAGGACAGAACTCTCTCAGTCTGTAGCTACACGATACCTAATGGTGAAGGACTGAATCCTTTGGCCTTACAATCAGGAACAAGAAAAGGTTGCCCCCCTCTCAACACTTCTGTTCAGCATCATCCTGGAGTTTCTGGCCAGAGCCAATGTGCAAGAAAAAGAAATAAAAGGGTTTCAGATTGGAGAAAAAGTAAAACTTTTTATTCAAAAATGACATCATTTATGTAGACAATCTAATGGAATCTACAATGAAAGTACTAGAACTTAAATGAATTAAGCACAAATACAAGATATGAAATATAAAATCAGCTGTACTTCTATATATTGGCAATGAATAGTGCAATACTGAAATCTTTTTAAAATACCATTTACAATAGCATCCAGAAAATATGGAATAGCAACAAATTTGACAAAAGATGTGAAAGACCTACACACTAAAAACGTGTGGGTAAAACTGCAGTATTTCCAGAATCTCTGGCCTGGCTTTAGTGCATCTCCATATCAGTAGGTGTTTCCAAGGGGTGAAGAGAGGTAGTCCATCTCTATATCAATAAGTATACCTATATATATATATAGGTATCCATATAGGTATTTGTATCAATCTAGACCGGAGAGGTTGGATGCGGTCTCTTCTTCTGCAGCTAGGTTGACAGAGATGCTGGATGACTGTAAATGGGTTTCTCCTACTTTATTTCTCCCTTTGACTGATTTCAGTTTCAAACGTATTTTGCTCTGGGACTTTCACCCTGGAGTTACATCTGTCTGTTGGTAGTCGGCAGGACCTCTGAATCCGAAATCCATCTACATGCGTGTGACCCTTGGGCAGGCTGCCCCTAGAGATGGTAGGCAGATGTCCGGAACCCCGTGGATGGTGGGGAAGCCCCAGCGTCTGCAGCGGTAGAGGGTGCAGCATCCACTCAGAAGCCCCCATCTGTGGGGCTCCCAACTGGGGCGCCCCTAGTGGGTAAATGGTCTAGGGTTAAGCACCTCCCAGAGGGGTGGGGCCTTCCCCAAAATTGGGGAAGCGTGGAGACACCAGAAGCTGCAGAATTAGCCCTCTGTGAGATAGAGGAATGCTTAGAGGCCCTGAGTAGCCGTGTAGCAGCTGGGACTGTGGGACCTCTTTTCCTCGAGATAGTGGAAAGAGTTATTGCGGAGAGAGAGAGACTTTGGCAGGAGACAGACAAACTTTAGCATGGCTTGGGGGAGCTGGGCAATGACCTACAGGATGCCCTTAAGAAAGACAGTTATTGAGAAGATGGGTTGCATTCCTTTAAGGCAGCAGCGAGGGAGGAGGCAGCTGGAGAATCCACACTGCAGGAGGCCATCGGAGAGGGGGAGGTAAGAGCCGTGCCTTCAGCCCCAGAGATGGTAGATGAGGTGCCTGGTGAGGAGGAGGGAGTGGGGCCAAGGGCGGATATGTTGCTGAAGCCTCCACCTGAGGCACCAGCCTCTCCTGTATTAAAGGCCCACCCAGTTGTAATTAAGAAAGTGAGACAACAACCGCAGGCTCCTCAGGGGGAGGAGCAGCCCTCTCTCCAGGTTGTGGAGCACTCCATGCTTTGCCCCTATACCAAGGATGAGCTGGTGGACATGAGCACTGGTTTTGGCAGAAGCCATTGGAACCTTTGCCTACATGGTTTCTGTGTGCCTGGGATATGGGGGTGGAAAACATTGTCATACTAGCTTTTGAAATTAGTACACTGGCTTCCCTGATGATTCACCCTTCTCTCCAGCATTGGTCGCAAAGTGCCCATCACACCTCAGGGAATCTGGTGCTTCTGGATTGGCTGACAGCAGCCATCCGGGAAGTTTGGCCTCATCAGGGTGATTTACCATACATACCCACTAGCTGGAAAACGTATGCAGAGCTCCAACAGGTGTTACGGGAGCTGGGCATGAAAAATATCATCTATAATATGGACCCCCAGGGCCACGACGAGGAGTTGTTCACTGTAGGAATGAGAAATCTGGTGCTCCATACAGCTCCCACATCTCTCTTTGGGTCCCTACTGACTATTCTTGACCCCACATAGGGCAACCCATAAGTGAGGCTACTTGTACTTTAGCAGGTCTGGAGGAGGTTGAAACAATAAGAGCCCAGAAGGAAGTATGGGCTACAACTGAAAGGAGAGGTGCAAAAGGCCCCGTGAAGGTCTAGAGAACCCAGATGTGGGTTAATTTGATAAAAGCCAGGGTAGTGAAAGAAAAACCCGATGGACAGCCCAACAGGATCTTGTTAGAACTGTGGCACCAATTAGAGCCAGAGCAGCAGTTCCAGCCACTGAGGTCCAGGACACGGACGCCGGAGGCAAAGACCCATGTCTGACCTGTGTCCATGCAAGACTGCACTCAGGCTCTACCTGGGCCCTCACCCCCACATGACGATTGGGCATTGCAGTTTGACTGAGGGAAGAGTCAAGGCCGCCACCTTGGGGGACATGGTAGGGACCAGAGGCCACATGTAGAATTAGCAATTCATTGGTTCCCTGTGAATGTACAGCATGTCCTGGCGCTGGTGGACACAGGAGCTGAAAATATTCTCTGATTTATGGCAACCCTGAGTGTTTTCCTGGGCCTGCTGTGATAGATAGCTATGGGGGTAAGGCAATTAGTGTGAAGAAAGCCCAAATCCCATTGGGGATAGGGTATTTATCCCCAAAGGAGTATACTGTGTACTTTTCTCCCAATATGGAATATATTCTGGGGGTAGACATGGTGTATGACCTGTGATTACAGACCACTGCAGGTGAGCTCACACTAAGGGTACGTGTGCTAACG